GTTTTTTTTTTTTTTTTTTTTTTTTTTTTTTGGGGGGGGGGGGGAATCCTGTGGGAATCCAAACGGCTATACCTAAGTGATATCAAATGGAGCAGTTCAGTCACCAGTAATAGCTGCTATTTATTATTTTAGTTGTGGCCTCCCTCTGAGCAAATATTAACCAACTTTTCAGGGCAATACCCCTGTGAGGTATGCAAGTATTATCTTAATGTGACAGATAGGGAACTGAGGCACGGAAAGATTTGTGACCCTGGGGTAAGTGTGGCAGAGCCTGAAAGAGATCTCAGTCCTCGCTTTAACAGAACCATCTGATACTCTTACCATTTGAGTGGGCTGGTCAGTGTGATCCATGGAGGCTCCAAGTTCCAATATTCATTGCTCCTAGGAGGCCTTCAATGCAGTCAAAGGAAACAGCTGCTCAGGCTCCTACGTGTGTATGTCACCACTCTAAATCCAGCCAGGGTTTGAGTCCCAGTGACAATGAGTTTGCAGTTCGTAGTGTAGAATGTGAATGACCATAATCATCTGTAGAACCCAGCTAAAACCTCAGTCCTAGCCTAGCCTGCTAATGGAACACTCAGAGGATAGTATCAGGGGGTAGCCGTGTTAGTCTGTATCTACAAAAACAACAAGGAGTCTGGTGGCACCTTAAAGACTAACAGATTTATTTGGGCATAAGCTTTCGTGAGTAAAAACCTCACTTCTTCGGATGCAACTCAGAGGATAGCCTTGCTGTAACTAGGTTCAGTCAGCTGTCTTCCTAGTGGCTGGGCCCTTAATGAACCCCCATCCAAGGCAAGCTCTGCTGAGCCTAGCTCCCTTACTATTACTCAAAGGGAAGATAATTTAATGTTTTACACACGTGCTTGAGAAGAGGCAACTTATGGCTTGATTTCTCCTACTGGAAAGTTGGGACATAAACTGTAAGGCCAGCCTCTTCTTAATTGGAATGGTGTAGTTTATGTGGCTGTTAGTACCTATTTTACAGGTTCTTATATTGTTACCAAAACTGTGGTATCTGAGTGTCTTGCATATATTAATGTATCCTCATAACACTCGTTATTTAGAAAAGTATTATTATTAGTCTTTTACAGATGGGCACACAGAGAGTAAGTGACTTTGCCAAGATGGTACAGAAGGTCTGTGGCAGAACTGGGAACTGAAACTAGATATAGTCCCAGTCTAACACCTTAACCACAGCATGTGCTGCTCTGTCTTGATCTGAGAAAACGACTCTTGCTTGGATCAAGTTGGAGTATCTCTCAGGCTAGAACCTGTTATCCCCACAGGCTATAATTCTGAATCAAAGATGTGATGACTGAGGGTCATACTGTTGCAGTCAGTTGGCTGTTTGATAAATGGACCGTGCATCGGTCCCTATATCTCTCAGTGATTACACGGCTTTACTGTAACTGTTGTTGGGGGGGAGGGCTTCGTAGTTAAAAATTCTGTTTCCCTGTGGAGCTGGCTAGAAACTTGAAGAGTGAAAACATCTAAACTTTTAAATTTTACATTTGTCAAACTTTATTCCTTTCTTTGTATTATTAAAAGAGCTGAAGTCAGCACTGTTTTAAAATTAGTGTTCTATAGCATCTTTGTCCAAAACATCTTTGATAGTGATGCTGTAGAAAATAAATATGGGTCTGACTTAACTTCCATTAAAATCATTGAAAGTTGGATTGGGATCAGTGGCAGTTTAGATGCTAAATAACAAACTTTTTTCTGCATTTCATAAAAATTGTTACTGGTTTTCAATCCTTGAATGTTAAACTTTTGAAGTATTATAATGTCTGAAATAATCTCTCTAATTTCTTTCATTTTCATTTAGTTCCAAAATACTTGGTTAACTATATACATCTAATACCAATGAAATGCAAGCCTGTCTTGGTTGGAGGCTGGCAGTCAACTGACACATTGCATAGCAACAAGGGATGTAGGAATTTTGGCTAAGGACACTGGAGCAGAGCTATGAAAAGTGCTATGGGATCTTTAACTTTCACACTCAAAAGGCAGGATGCATTCTAAAGGCTCTAACACAAGCAGCTTCTTTTGTTGTCTTTGGGAGGATGAAGAATTGCAGTGCCATTTTTAGATAGTACAGATATGTATTTAGAATCCAGAGGGCGCCCCCATAATATGTGTAATGATTTAAATGCATACCAAATATTGGGTTAAAATATTCACAGTGTCCTTTTAATTAACTCTAGGGGCCTGATTCTTCACTTAGTTGCACCATTGTAAATCAGAAGTAACATAAAATACACCTCTACCCTGATATAACACGACCATATATATCACGAATTTGGATATAATGCGGTAAAGCAGTGCTCCGGGGGGGCGGGGCTGCGCACTCCGGTGGATCAAAGCAAGTTCAATATAATGCGGTTTCACCTATAGCGCGGTAAGATTTTTTGGCTCCCAAGGACAGCGTTATATCGAGGTAGAGGTGTATATTGAATGATGTCAGTGTAAAACTAGTGTGAGAGGAGAATCAAGTCTTTTGTGCTTACTTTCCTTCGACAGAAACACATTAGTTAATCATTTGGGCTCTAGGAAATGCACATAGAGCAGTGCCAAACTCAGCATTCATTTACATTAAAGTAAATGTGGAGTCACTCCACAGAAGTTGATGGAGTAATCCATCCAGATTTACACCAGTGTACCTGAGAACAGAGTTTGAAACACAAGCTTTATGTTTCCCACTGGAATAAGAATAAATTATTTAACTATTACCTTTCTTCCCATGTTGGAGTATTATGGATCAGGTTTCAGCAACCATCCTTCCAGCCAACATGGACTGGACATGGACTCCTTTCACAGTCACTCCTGAGTCTAATATCTTCTAGAGAGGTTACTATTGAGAAATGAATGTATCTTTTCCTCCTTGGCTGTCTGTGTCTTTCCTCTCTGTGTGTCCCATCCTCCTATGCACGTTGTGCTGCACTGGAGCAGTGTAGTTGGACATAGCACCGCTTGGAATGAGTTTTGTCAGGTCTGAACTCAGCAATTAATACAGTGCTTTCTGTCATTGATTGACAGGGAGTGCTGCATTCAGCTACGCCAGGGGTCGGCAACCTTTCAGAAGTGGTGTGCCGAGTCTTCATTTATTCACTCTGATTTAAGGTTTCGTGTGCCAGTAATACATTTTAACATTTTTAGAAGGTCTCTTTATAAGTCTATAATATATAAGTAAACTATTGTTGTATGTAAAGTAAATAAGG